TTAAAAAAAATTACTATCTTTTTTTTTTAGCGCGTAGTTAGACAGCTATCTGCAGTTTTGCTTCGTTGCTTTTGCCGGCTTCCCTTTTCTCAAGGGCTTAGGCAGCGCAGGTCAAAGGGAGAAGGTGTAACAGTTGCAAAGCACTGTCGAAAGTCCATGGAAAATTTCTGTTGGAAAACTAAGAGAGCATCCAGTTTTCTCAGGACGGATTTCTTTCTCTTTTTTGGGGGGGACGATGGGTAAAAATCTCAGAATTTCACTTTCTGAACTTGTCTAAACCAGCTTTTTCCTGCCTCCACACAGTTGTGTTTAATTAAATGTGCCTAATTTAAGCAAAAGGGCTGCTAAACAATAGTCTGTAACGTGTAGCGCAAACCCGTATTTCCTCCCTCCAAAAGACAACAAAGGAGACAACTTTGGGAGTTTCCTTTCTGCTGGGTGCTTATGATTTTTTTTTTTTTTTCTGAGTATGTAAAGCTGAGCTCTCAGCTGGTGTCAATTGCTGCTCCTCTGCTGAATTCTGAATTGCAGTGGTGGAGAGCCTGGCTGTGCCCCAAGAGCCTTGCTTTTAAAATGTACCCCCAAATAACCGCTTTTGGGAGAGCATCGAGTTTGTTTGGCAAGGCACTTTGAACACAGATAATGCTTCCTTTGCAAGGAGACACGCAGTCTTGACTACTCCTGCTCCCTGTCAGTGTATTTGCAAATGATGATACAATACTGTGAGATTCTTGCTTTCTGGCAGCTTCTCGACTTCTTTATACAAGGTTCTTCACCTCCTCCCTCTATCCGAGTAAGTCTGTTTTAACAACACGTGTATGGCAAAAGTCTTGTTCTCTCTTGCTTTCTGCTTGCAAACCTGATTAATTTAGGACGGTGAGGAGTAGAAGAGGAGCATCAGCGTTGGTACTTGTGCGTACTGTCTCTGCATTAGAGAGCACTTACGGTGCTCAGGCTGCCTCATTAACTCCATGGATTTGTAGCACGGATGCTATAAGATCATCAAATCTGGGTCAGGCTTGAGCCCACAATTCAAATTCCTTTTAATTGGCCAGAAAACACATCAGATTATTTTTGCTGGCTTGATGCTGGCTGGGGGGAGAAAAGATACCTGACCTGGCAGGAAGGCTGCTAGTATGAAGGTAATCTATCAATGTTTTAGGAACAAACTTCAGCTTTAGTGAGTATCTGCTGCTGTGACTGGTGATTTTGATCTGCGACTAAAAGCCCTAAAACCAGTTTTATGGCAGCAATGGCCTCAGGTGTTTCAGGGAAGGTCAGATGAATAAAACCCTTGTTTTTTATCAGGACCTCTAATTCTGGCCAATTCACTCTCCATGGGAATGTGTAAAGACATGCATTTCTAGAGGGGCATTTTTCTGCTGAGCTGTGCCTTTGTGAAGGCTCTCCATACCCACTTGTAGCAACTTTGCAGAGGACGCTGAAATAGTACAATCCTTGAAGTAGCTGTAGGAAAATTTTGTATCAATTATACTTTGCAGAGATCAAAGGCTTTGTGCATATCTGAGACATCCATGTAAATTCTGCTATACCTCAGTGGTATTTGTATTTACAGCAAGATAATACTACAGAAAAATCTTTGTCAATCTTCATTCACTTTTATGGAAACCCAGTATATATTTTACTCTGTTCTGCCAGCTGACTGAACTCTCAAATAACTCTCTCCCTCCCCAGGTAAGGGGACTAACCATTGCTTAAGACCATAACTGTAAAGCTTTAGCATAAAGGTGAAACTTGGGAGAGTTTTAAGGGTTCCCTCCTTTTATTTTTTTTAAGGATGGGAACTGTTGTTAGAGCCTGCTTTTTTCAAAACTTGATTTGCAACTCTTGAGTGAGGCGTTGAACAAATATTGTGGTGGCTTATATACCTATAGCTTAGAAAAATCTTTTAAGCCTTGATTTGTTGCTCACATCCTTCTAAGTTCCAAAAAACTTTTAATAAGGTGAAATGTTTTAGAAAGGCTTGATCCAAAGCCATGGGTACCACTGGCCATTAGTTCAAATGCTATAAGAATAAAGATTTAATTAACTGGTGTGGCTTCATCAGCACTTTAATACGGCAAAGCTTTCCAGAAACCAAATCATGGATTCCTCCACGCTTACAGTCTTCAGCGATCAGATTCCAGCAAGTGTTAGAGGTGTTAAGAGCCTGATGTGAAAAATGATGTGTGAATTTTGACTTCCTCTTGCTTAAATTTTTCAACTGTTTCAGCTGAATAGGTGTACAAATTCCTCACCCTTAACTGTTAAACCTGGGCAACGTTTTGTGTGCTGTTTTCTGGAACTGCAGAAATTTTCAGGTTTCAGAGTTTTTGACCTGTTCTGATCTATAAAGCAACACGTGTTCCAATAGCACTGTGCGGACAGGCGTGTTAAGAGCAAATGTTGGCATCGGGGTGAGAGAGAGAGAGAACTCTGTGGAGCAGTATCAGATCCTCTGTGTGTGTGTGTAGCAATGCTATCTATTTCAGAAATCTACTGCAGGCATTTCTGTCACTGCATTACTGTAGTAAATCATCATCACTAAGGAAAAAACCAACAAATGCCATCTCTCTATGGCAAGAGGCAAGAACCGTGAGTATGTCAGTAATGCCAGTAAGCGAATGGGGCTGGATGCCTTTGAGTTGGTGATAATATGGAGGGGGTGGGGTTGGAAGAGAGAATAGAAAGAGAGTTGGGTGTTTTTTTTCTCCTGTCTGTGTCTGAAATGGCACAGTTTGCTCTCTGGCTTTATTTTGCCATAAATAGGAGTACCTGCGTTTGAACCAGGCAGTTCAGCAGTTTGCTATGAACTGCTGCACCGTTTCACTCATGACCTGGGTAGCCTTCAAGGTTGTGGGTGCTGTGAGTGAATGCAGGGTGGATCATTAACTGAACACGCAAGGAAAAAATTCTTAATGCTCTTTCCATAGGGAGCATGCCTGTACATGCTGGCATGTTCCTGAACAGTTTTTCTTAAAGATTTTCCTGTATGGGATTATCGAAAGGAGCGGAACTGTAGCCTCTGTAATGGGAATCTCGAGTCTTCACACATCTGGAGGAAATGGAGGAAGGGGTAAAAAAAAAAAAAGAATCACTTCTTATTCTGAACTGTCTCTGTGTTCAACATAATCCTCCTAATTTGGAAGGATATTAATGGCTTAAGCAGTCAGATGCAATGATCAGAGATGTTAGCGACATGAGGAAAGGCTAATGTGGTTCTTCAGTATCAGACATGCTGAGATAAGGATGCTTATTCCTGACATCTCATTTTGTGCTAATCATTCTGTTGTGCCCTCAGCCTTGCTAATACCTGTTCTGCTTGGGAATTAGTATGGGCTGGGATCGGTCTGACACTTAAGTCAGCAGGCAGGTCAGCATGAACACCTTGTAAAGGAGCAAAAACTGGGACTGTGTACAGGTCCTAGTGAAGCTGCTCCTGAGTACCTGTGTGTGCACTGACGAAGGTAGCCCAATGCTGACTTGAGCTATGCGATTCCTTGAGACTGGGTTTATTAGAGTGCAAGGAGATGTTGTGAGTCAATTAATCCAGCAGTTTGTGTCACTTACCTGAATGTCTCCTTTTTACACCAGAGCTGAACGTGCTCCTCACCCTTGGCTGCTACTTGTCAGATTAGTAAAATGTCTACTTTCAGCTGTCAAAATATAGCGCCCTTTCTTGCATTTTTTTTTTTTCTGAAAGGCTTTTGTCTTAGAACCCAAGAACTCTTAAACAAATGTATTTCCACAAGGACAAAGAATCTATTTTTGATAATTTTTTTCCTCATCAGGAAGACTGCTTAACTGAAAAGTAAACCTGATTTATGTTTTAAAAACATAATTTAGTTCTTGGATTACTCTGTTTTGCTAATGCTATGTTCTTTTGTGTCCAGTGCTGACATCCTAGAGGCAGAAGTTGCCTTGTTACATTATACAGGCCAAATTATTTCTTTTTTAGCCATCAATGTGGTGTTTCTCCAGAGATCGTCTCCACTATTTCAGAGCATGAGAATCAAGTGCAGATCAAGGCTAGGATATTCCATAAAGTCTTTGTAACTAAGTGTGTGTGACTTGTATGTTGCAGAGATGTCCTTGCACTGCCGATCTTCAAGCAGGAAGAACCACAGTTGTCTCCTGAGAACGATGCCAAACTGCCACCCTTTCAGTACGTCCTCTGCACAGCCACGTCACCTGCTGTGAAACTGCACGAAGAAACCCTGACCTACCTCAACCAAGGTAGGGTTTGCACTACACTGAAAGAGGGCACGTTTTCTGGGAATGATTCATGGGAGAGGGATTGAATCCCGTACTTGTGCCTTACTGGGAGGGCAGCGGGCTGGGGAAAAAGAGGGATAGAAATGGGGAGGGGGATAGAGGAAAGGGGGAATACTTAATTTTTCCACATTTATATACCAGATTGTCAACTGATATAAAATAATGAAGTACCACTGATTTAACTGTTGACTTAAAGCAGCATTATAGCATGCACAGTCCCCTGTGGCCAGGTACTGGCTTGATCTTGGACAACTGAAACTGCAGCCTTCTGCCTTCATCTTAAGAGGCCAGATTAATTAAGCAGACTGGCAAACTTTGGGTTGGGAAGGGCTCTTAACATTGCAAGTCCCCAAGCACTGCTGGAGGGCATTACCAGAGGATGAGTTAGCAGGTATCCAAGGACTCCTTGGTGGTCTGGGCAGAGTGCAACATCGCTCTGACTGGCTGGGTGATGTGGCTCTGCTCAGTCCCTAACTTGACAAGGTGCTGGGGTTCAGTGCAGCAACATTCCTCTATAACTGACCTCTTAGACTAATTTTCACTCCTAGATAAACAAGCACTGTGTGTTTCTCTAGGCTTTTTTTTTCCCCTTTGGCAGAATTCGTGCAGACATATCTGTGGTTGGAGTTTGGCTGTCACTTTGCAGAACCTCCTGCGTGTGGGTCCTGGGGGATCAGACCTCTCCAGGCACAGATTATGCTAAAATTTACTACACTTATTTTCTGCCAGGTTGTAAACAAGAGCGTTAGCCCAGCAACAAGCTGAAGGCTGCCTGCCCTGCTACCGAGATCTTCTCCAGCTCTTTAAGCTTTGTGCACTGAGCATGAAGCTCACTCAGGTGCCTCTCTGGCTAGGTTTCTCAATGCTTGCACAAAAAACCCTGACCTCAGGTGCGGCTGGTGGCTGGATCAGTGTTGCTAGCTGGTAGACCCATGGAACCCCCATAGAAAGATCAACAGCTGCAGGCTGTACTCAAGGAGCCAGATGTTTCATGTCACATAAGCTGGCACTGTGCTCTCTCCCAGGATCAAAAGATGCTGGAGATTTGTGACTGCTGTCCCAGTTTATCCATCCAAATGCAGCAGACCCGAAGAGGTGATAATGGGGCATGTGAAGGGTGAGATGCAGATGAATCTTCCTGTGAAACACAATTCTTTACTGTTTTGGAGTAAAACATTTTCTGTTGTGAAAAGCAGTCGATGGCCAAATGCTTTAGCATACATGGGGCAGTGCCTGCTTTTTTACCTTGGTAGGGCAGAAGGTAGACAACTCTTTACACAATGCCATGAGTTTTAAAACTGTATAACTAGAGCAGTCTATGTTTTCCTATGCAAGGTAAGACTATTACTGCCTTTGTAGATAGACCATGTTGTGTTAGGCTTTTTCCTGCTTACTATTGCAAGGAGTTGTCTCCTGCTCCATCTTGACGCAGTACTGACCTGTTTCCTTGGCAGACCATCAGTTCTTGGATATTGTCTGCATCTGTCTTCCCTCAAGAGGGAAAGTGGGATGTATCCTTGCAGAATACATTCTGGTGAGCGTGAGGCTGGACAGGCCTGGAGGAACAAAGCAGGGATGAGGCTGGCAGGAGCTGTGCGGTGGGGCAGGGTTGGGAAGGGGCTGAGGGAAGAAGTGGGCACTCCTTAGTTCTGTTGGCTTGCCACAGCAGATGGAAACAGTATCTTTTCCTAGAAGGTCTTCGGGGTGATTAGTGGTAAAAAGTGGGGCATCTCCTGACAGTTAAATGATTCACTGCTTTCTGTTCCTCTTGGCAGTACCTTTGCGTTTGCCTGCCACTTTCTCAGGAGCATCCTCACCTCATTTAAGTTCCAAGTGATTTGTCTTCCTCCTTACAGTGAGATGCTCTGGGTTTCTTGAAAAATCCCTTAACTTCGAGGCTCTCTGTAGATGGATTTTTTTTTCTTGAGATCTTGCAATGTACGTACTTTAAAAGCCATTCTGCTCCACTCCAGCAGGTTGCTTTGAAGTTCACACCATTGGCTGCACTTTTGGTCCCAGCATTGACCCTTTCTGATAGCAAGAGCAGACCTTGACTGTAAATTTGTCTGACATGTAGTCTACCTTGATACGAAGTCCCTTAGACCAAAATTCCTTGCCAGTGCTAGTTAAGAAAAATGGACTAGAGTCTGTTTCCATGTGGATATGAGCTGCTGTGAGAAGCTTGTGGGTTCACTGAAGGTAACTACAGATATGGGGAGACGAGGATACTGGACACACCTTTCAGCCAGCTGTGGTCGGAGCTGGGGAGTCTAATTTCTGTTGGTGGGGTATCAGTGAGGACATTGCCTGGGGTTAAGAAGAGGTGAGGATTTGTGTTGCAATTCCAGGACAAAGAATCAATTTGCATTGGCAGATATCCTCCCATTTCACTTAGAGGTTTCTGTTTGGGAACTTCTACATAAATGCATATTTGGTCTTTTTCAAAACATCTGTGTTAAAAGCATATTCTCATGAACTGACCTTCTGGAATGAAAATAGGAGATATGTCTGTTTAAAATTAAAATGCTTGAGTCAAATTTTCTTCTCCTTGCAGCAACACTTCTCTGTGGGAGACACTTTTGATTCTTGAGCTATATGGTTTCCCAGCAGGTACCTGTTGTGTAGGTATTTTCCCATTTTCCCATTCCTTCTCCAAAACTAGAGGAGGGTGTTGCAACTCTTTACTTTGACCTGCTCAACACAAGCCAGGGAATCCCACTCAGGCACTGCCACACGCTGATCTCAATTTTCCTGCCTGAGCTAGAGCTAAGTAAGTTGTAAGTAAACTGTAAGAGTCATTAAGCATTGGAACAGGCTTTCCAGGGAGGGGGGGGGCGCACCCTCCCTCGGGGTGGTTTAAAAAAAAAAAAAAAAAATTTAGATGTAGTGCTTTGAGATGTGGTTTAGTGGGCATGGTGGCATTGGGTAGAAGGTTGGACCTGATGATCTTTGAGGTCTCTTCCAACCATAACGATTCTATGATTCTAAGTGCAAGTTAAAGGCTCTGACAGAAAGTTAATCCCATTAATAGAATGATGTTGTATGAGCCTGAGGAGGTATGTGAAGGGAACCTTGAGGCAGCCCAGGTCTCTGGAGCCAATACTTACAGCATGGCAGAAGAGCTGACTGACTCCAGAGCACTGTGACCCAGCTGCAGTGCCGTAGCCATCTCATGAAGCTCTTCCTACACCTTATCGCCTTACGCTGACTGTAAGCAAAGGGGTACCTCTTGCACCTTACCCTCTTTCTGTGCTTATCATGGTCTGGCCAAACACTGTTACATAAAACTTCCCTTCCTCCTTGTATGCTTGAGTTTTGTGATGGATTACTTTAGCAAATGGGTAACTTCATTAATGGATGTCCCTCTACCCTGTCTGCGCTGATGACAGCATCAGTCATAGCAGGCTCCTAGTAAGGCAGATAACAAAGACACAGTGGCTGTCCCAGCTCCAACAAAGCAATTCACATACAACGTGGTTACTTACCCAAATTGTGAGGACTGGGTTTGGGGTTTTCTGCTTGCTGGGTGACTTTTGCCACTTGCTGTCCAAGTGTTCTGTCCTGACTCGAGCTCTTCAACCCTCAGTAACTGACCTTTTGTCACTGTGAAGCAGCTCTGCTCCCTGCTCTGAAACACTTTCTCCAGATGTGACTGGTTCAATGGTGGTTGGCGAGTGGACCAGCTCAAGGCATGGTGCATGTGCGGGACTGGATAGAAGAAAGGTTGGGTCTGATAGAGCTATGGAGTGGGGAAAGCTGGGAGAATTGGGTAGCAAATTGAAGGCTGAGATGCATAGCAGAGATAGAAGATGAACTGGTGGAGAGATTCAGGTGAGATCTGGAAGGGTTTCATATGGGCTGGAAAGAAGGGCAGTCCAGTGGCTGTGTTTATGTGCAAACAGGAGAGGGATGGGAGAGGTCTCCAGGCTTGTGGACCATCATGACTTCTCATGAGCCTTGCCTCTTGCTGGATAGACCCAGAGAGATGGTCAGTGGCATTGGGAAGGAAGAGGTCTTTTGGCTTGGGGTCTCCACACAGGTGAAAGAGGAAACTGAGAGGACTGCTGAGCTGGAGACCAGTGTTTTCAGCAAGGGCAGGGGAAGCATTTGTGAGGGAGCATAAGGGAGTGAACTTAGCTGTTGTGTTAAGTTGACTTGGGGACATTCAGCAGTGGCAGGCTCCCAAGTTTGTCTGCTCCAGTTTGAAACCCTGAGTGCTCGCTGGCTGCAGCTCTAGAATCAGCCTGTAAATGGAGTAACTAGAGTCAAAACCTTAGCTTGGTTTCCAAAGACTGACTCATTACACTTGTCTTTCCTGATCTCTTTTCCCCCTTTTCCCCCCTGCCTTCCTACATTCCCTGGGAAACTGAAGCCAGAGCTCTGCTAGCCCAAATTGAACATGGTCTTAGTTTGCTAATCTTTAGGGCAGATCCTACATTAAGAGATCCTTACTGAATCTCAGGAGGATTACTTATCTGACGGGACAAACCATAAGCTACTTAATATGGTGTCTTAACACTGTTCCACCTTCAGTCCACAAAACCCGGTAAAGGTGCTGCTCTCACATTAGGAGCTGCTGCTGGCATCGCTCCTTTGGTCAGGGATCGCATCTGTCAGAGCTATGCTGTCCAGAAGTCTGCAGCACAAACATCGCCTAACATTTTTGGAACTAGCCTGCCTTTTAGCACTATTTCAGCGTCTCTTGTGGATAGAGATTTTTTCAGACAAACAATCAACCAGCAACCATATTACAAACCACTGCTTTAGCAAGAGGGATTGATGCAGTTGCATATTCCATGGTCTGCAGTCATACAGGGTGTGGTTTGACCATGGCTGGTTGGAACTGGTTTCAAACATGGACAGAAATGGGAGCAATGAAGGTGGTTCCAGAAATTGCACCAGGAGGAATGCAGAGGAAACAAGCACTGTACAGTAGGTCTGAATGCTAATAAATGTGAGGA